ATATTCAGACATATGGAGTATTTGTGCCAAGTTTGGTCCAGATCCATCATGATTTGAGTCCACAGTGCTCTCTGGATGTAGGTGAACTACAGCTCCCAAACTCAAGGTCAATGCCCACCAAACCCTTATAGTGTTTTCTGTTGGTCTTGGAAGCCCTGTGTGCCAAGTTGGGTTCAATTCCATTGTTACTGAAGTTCAGAATGCTCTTGATTGTAAGTGAACTATAAATCCCAGTAACTACAGATGGCCATTCTGCTTCATAGACATTGGTGAGTTCAGGGAAAAACAGCACGACAGACTCATAGGATCCTAGGTTGTGATGGGAACCTCAGGAGCTGAGCTGTCCAGTCCAGTCCAGTTCCCTTCGGCCGGACAGAAGGGCACCATCCAAGCCCTTCCAAGAGATGGCCGTCCAGCCATAGATGAGAAATATAACTGACATGGAAAGAGAGATATTTCTTTCTGCCAAGGAGAATCAGCACCATCAGACCACTCCCTACTGATGGCCATCCACAGATTCTAAGTTCATGAAGAAGGACTATACAGAAGGAGAGGAATCCGAGAGTGAGAAAGGAACCTCAGGGGGCATCCAGTCGTCCCCCATTTTTCAATCAAACCACTCCCGACAGATGGCCATCCAGCTTCAACAACAACAGCAACAATAGAATCCTAGAGTTTGGAAAGAACCAAAGGCCATCCTGTCCAACTCCCTTCTTCCTTTCGGCCTTCAGACAGGAAGAGCACAGCCCAAGCCCTCCTGACAGATGACCATCCAACCATAGATATGATAGACAAGATATATTTGTGTGTGAGAGACATAGTATCACAGACTTGGAAGAGGTCCTAAGAGATGCCCAGTCCAACCCCCCTTTTGCAAGGCGGAAAGACACAATCAAGGCTCTCCAGACAGATGGCCACCAGGGACTCCTAAGAGGGCCATCTAGCCCAATCCTCTTCTTTCCACTAGGCAAGAAAAGCACAATCAAAACCTTCCCAGTAGATGGCCATGCAGCCTCTGCTTAATAACAACAACAATAACAGAAACCTACAGCTGGATGAAACCTCAAAGAGGGTCATCCAGCTTTCAGGAAGGAAGAGCGCAACTGGATCATTCCCAACAGATGGCCACCCTGCCTCCATAATAATAATAATAATAATTAATAATAATAATAATAATAATAATAGAATACTAGTTGGAAGGGGTCCCAAATAGGGCCACCCAGCCCAACATCCTTCCCTCTGCCTTCCAGGCAGGAAACACAATCAAAGTCTTCCCGACAGATGGCCATTCAGCCTCTGCTTAATAATAATAGAATTCTAGCGTCAGAAGAGATCCCCAAGAACCATCCAGTTCAACCCCCTTTATTCCGCCTTCAGGCAGGAGGAGCACAACCAAACCACTCCCGGCAGATGGCCACCCCACTTTTACTGAAAAGCCCCCCAAAGGGTGGAGTGAGCCTGGTGTGCTTTTGACCCTCTTCCTAGAGCCAAGGCGGAAACACCAACAAAAAAACGCACACACAACAAAGCCTTGCACTTCTTCCCTGTTAGGCAGGAGGAGCACAACCGAACCACTCCCGACAGATAGCCATTCAGCCTTAATAATAATAATAGAATCCTAGAGTCGGAAGGGACCCCCAAGGGCCATCCAGTTCACCCTCCCCTTCTTCCATTCTGCCAGCAGGGAAACACAATCAAAGCCTTCCTGACAGATGGCTACCCAGCCTCTGCTTTATTATTATTACTATTATTATTATTACTATTATTATAGAATCCTAGAGTCGGAAGGGTATTGGACCACCCAGTCCAATCCCTTTCTTTCCGCCAGGCAAGAGGAGCACAACTAAACCGCTCCCGACAGACGGCCACCCAGTCCCCGTAATAATAATAATAGAACCTTAAGGTTGGGAGAGACCCCAAAAGTCATCCTGTCCAACCCCTTTCCTTTTGCCTTCAGGCAGAAGGAGCACAACCAAACCACTCCCAACAGATTGCCAACCCACCCTCTGCTTAATAATAACAATAATAATAGAATCTTAGAGTTGGGAGAGATCCCAAAGGCCATCCGGCCCAACCCCCTCTATGTATCTCTATGTCTATCTATCTTTGTCTATCTAGCTATCTATAATTATAGATTCCTACATTTGGAAGGGACCCCCAAGGGCCACCCAGCCCAACCCCCTTCCTTCCTTCTTCCTCCCAGGCAGGGAAACACAATCAAAGCCCTCCTGATAGATGGCCACCCAGCCTCTGCTTACTACTAGTAATAATAATAATAATAATAATAATAATAATAATAATATAATTCAAAAGTCGGAAGAAACCCCAAAGAGGGCTACCCAGCCGAAACACCTTGTATCCGCCAGGCAAGAAGATCACAATCAAAGCCTTCCCGGCAGATGGCCACCCAGCCTCTGCTTTAAAATAATAATAAAAGCTTAAGAGTCGAAGGGACACCAAAGGTCATCCAGTCCAACCCCCTTCTGCCTTTACGGAGAAAAAGCACAACCGAACCACTCTTGACAGCTGGCCACCCACTCTCTATTTAATAATACTACTACTAATAACAACAACAACAGAATCCTAGGGACACACAATCAAAACCTTCCCAAAAGAAGCCACCCAACCTCTGCTTAATAATAATAA